TAGGTACCCCAGCCCCCACCCTGGACTCTGCCCCCCCCCACCAGTGAGTCTTGGCTCTGCTTATAGCATCTGACGCCAGAGGGGCTGAAAATAGTCCCTGGAGGAGGGGGGAGAGGGAGAAGGGGACTATTTAAAGGGCTCTGGAGGAGCCAGGCATACCAGGGGCAACGAGAAGGAATCATGGCTACTTCGGAGCTGAGCTGCCAAGTGTCTGAGGAGGACCAGGAACGCCGGGAAGCCTTCTGGGCTGAGTGGAAAGATCTGACCCTGTCCACCCGGCCGGAAGAGGGGTGAGTGTGATGGATCATCTGGAATATCTGCCTCTGCTTCCCCAGAGTACCCTCTCCATGACAGAGTGAAAACCCCTTGAGTTCCCAGAGGCCCTCCCCTGCCCCGGGGACCTGGCCATCCAGGGAGACCCCACTTAGCAGCTCTCAGGAGTTCACATCCCTTCTCCCTACTTCCAGATGCTCCCTGCATGAGGAGGACACACAGAGACATGAGACCTACCACAGGCAGGGGCAGTGCCAGGCCTTGGTGCAACGCTCGCCCTGGCTGGTGATGCGCCTGGGCATCCTCGGCCGTGGGCTGCAAGAATACCAGTTGCCGTACCAGCGGGTGCTGCCACTGCCCATCTTCACTCCCGCCAAGGTGGGAGCTGCCAAGGAGGAACGCGAGGAGACCCCCATCCAGCTGCGGGAGCTGCTGGCACTGGAGACAGCCCTGGGCGGCCAATGCGTGGAGCGCCAGGACGTGGCTGAGATCACCAAGCAGCTTCCCCCTGTGGTGCCTGTCAGCAAACCTGGAACCCTGCGGCGTACCCTGTCTAGATCCATGTCTCAGGAGGCTCAGAGAGGCTGAGATGAACTGGGACTCAGGCTCCACCGTGTCTGCCTTGGGCTGGGCCCTTCCTGGCTAGGACCATGGAGGACAGCACCTGGCCTTGGCTGCTTTGTAGTTTGCCCAGAGGTGGGGGCTGCGGGAGGAGGGAGCCAGAGGCCAGGATGCCTAGGCATCCTGAGTTCCCAAAGGGCGGGGAGCAAGGATGGTGGGCCCTGGAGGTGGAGGGCTGAGCACCGTCAGCCCCAGAAGGAACAAGAGATACTGGTGAGGACAAGAACCCCTGGGAAACTGTTCAGTGAGAGGATGGAGTAGGGCAAGGAAGGGATGCGGGATGCTCGGAAGGAAGCTTGAAGGTTACAGGGAGGGGGATTGAAGAGGGCACAAGCAGGGCAGGCCCCCAGCACCCTCTGTTAGCACTGCAATAAATGCTCAACCGTGTTCCAGGCTTCTTTCTTTCTTTGTGGTTGGGATGAGCATTCATGTCTCCCATGCACTTCTGGGAACAGCCATGCATTTGAGCTAAATATCGCACAGCCACAGGGTATATTCCATGCTTAGGGGCGGGGGGAGGGGAAGAGCTGTAAACAGGGTAACTGTCTGGTCCCCTTTCCTGTGTCACTGCCCAGTCCTGGCTCCCATGTCCAGTCCCTGGCACTAGAGAGTGCCTCGCAGGCCAGCTGGCATCCGGGTTTGTTTAAATGATATCTGCGGAGGATATGGAAGGGGCTGGCACAAGGGCTGTCCTTGGCTGTGCCTTGGGGTGTAGATGGGGTCAATGACCCGAAGGCCTGTCAGTTGTAGATCCAGACAGAATCAATCCTTGACTGGCATCAGGTGCTCCACCCTCCCTGGCCTGGGTGGGATGACAGGGTCAGGCTCCTGTCTGTGACCCCTGCAGCTGTTAGGATGATTCATGTCTCAACCTGGGTGGCTGGCCTAACAAGGAGACTGTCCCCTTGGAATAAGGAAGGGGCACAGAGGAAGACTGGATCGAAAGAGGGCAGGACTATCTCAGCAGAGACTGGTACCCTGCTCACCCCAGAAGGGCACAGGGTTCACCCAGAGGGTTCTGCTTTAGGAAGACTGGAGATGCTGTTGGCAGGATTGTTTGTCATTTCGAGCAGATGGGACGGAAGAGTAGAAGCTCGTGTGCCAGGTACCTGAAGCACCGAGCAAGACCTGCAGGCCAGGCCCTGCCAACTCCCCAGAAGGGCAGGGGTGCTGACTTGGGGAGAACAGTCAGGGAACCTGTGCATCCCTCTAGTGGCCATGGCAGTGCCAAGAATGAGCTCAGTACTCTTTGTCCTCACCTGAGTCTGGCGTCCCTGATGTGGCGGGAACATCCCGAACCCACGGTGCTTGTTGGTACCCAGATAAGCAACACACAGCCCCAGGGGCCACAGGGATACCTGATGTTCTGCTTGCTAAAAGCATTAGCCCTGCTTACCTCCCTTATCTCTGCTGCCATGGATGCTCAGGGCAGAGACCTGCTCAGGGGCTCCGGGAGGCCAGGGAGACAGAGGCCAGAACAGAGTGTCCCTTCTGGAGGAGGGAAGGGGCTTGGAGGAGGGATCCAGGCCTGAAGGAAGGGATGATGTTATTAAGAAGGGGGTCTATAAAGGGTACCCCACTCAAGAGAAGGAAGGAGGGCTGGGGGAGGACAGTAGGACTGCAAACATGGGCCATCCAAACCTTGGGAAAGAAAGGGGATAGGATGCTGAGCAAGAGCTCCTGTGGGAGGCTGGAAAAAAGCTGGGGCACCTGGTTGGGGGTGCAGGGCCGCACTGGAAGGGATGAGCAGGGGAAGGGATGGGTGGAGGTTTCCAGAGGGAGGGTGAAACAGGAGCTCTGGTCTAGAGGGTGTCCCACACACCTCCCTGCGCATCTGTTTCTCCAGACACTAACAGAGATGGATGGGGTGACAGAGATGTAGTGGCCCCAGGCGGGTGCCTCATCCTTCAACTGCTGCCCCCGCAACGGAAGGGTCGGTCGGGACGGGAGGGGCAGTGGTAGATAAAGGGATGGCGAGGCTATTGGGGGATAGGAGGCCCCAACAGAAGCATGAGCTGTGGCACAGACCCGGAACACGCAGGGATGGCCCCTGACTCGGACCCGGGCCGGGCAGCTGTCGCTTCTGCTTACCAGGGCTTCGAGCCCCGTGCTTACCTCCGCAACAACTATGCTCCTCCTCGTGGGGACCTGAGCAACCCTGATGGCGTCGGGCCTTGGAAGCTGCGCTGCATGGCGCAAACCTTTGCTACGGGTGAGCACCGGAAACTGAGGCATGAGAGAGAGCTGAAAGCGTGGGGGGGGGATGAAAGGGAGAGAGAGAAACAAGAGTACACAGTCAAGAAGCTGCTTGTGTAGTCAAGAGCGAGCAAGTTAGCCAGGCTCGGTAGTGCCGCAGGCCTCTCGTCCCAAGACTAGGAAAGCTTGAGCCCCTGAATTGAGGCCTGGCTAGACAACTTATATTCCTTTTCTTTTGAGGGAAGGGTACTTAGGATTGAGAGACAGGCAGGGTGGGGTATAGGAGAGAGACTGAGGTGAAGGCTGAGGTGGAGATTGGAGACTCCAGAGAGAAAGGCTAGGTGTCTCAGAATCCCCCAACATGATCTTCACTAAAGCTAGTTTTTGAGTGGTGGGACCCGTGTTAGAGTAGCCAAGCTTCTCTCCAACGTAGGTAGCCCAGGATGGTCCCTAGTAGAACCTGGTTGGTGTCACACTACCCCGAAGGGCTGGGAGAGTATGGGAGGGGTGGCTGAGGCAGGGATCACCCGGAATCCCCTTTCTCTGCTTCACCAGGTGAGGTGTCTGGACAGGCCCTCATTGACATTGGCTCAGGCCCCACCGTATACCAGTTGCTCAGTGCCTGTGCCCACTTTGAAGACATCACCATGACGGATTTCTTGGAGGTCAACCGGCAGGAGCTGGGACTCTGGCTTCGAGAGGAACCAGGAGCCTTTGACTGGAGTGTGTATAGCCAGCACGCTTGCCTCATTGAGGGCAAGGGGTAAGAGCTGGAATGCAGGGTGTCCTGTGGAGTGGTGGGTGGTGGTGGAGGGCGGCAGAGGACCGAGCCTGGGGTCGTCCTGAGCCCTGCCTCGTGCTCCTGTACAGTGAGTCCTGGCAGGAGAAGGAACACCAGCTCCGAGCAAGGGTGAAGAGAGTCCTGCCCATAGACGTGCACCAGCCCCAGCCCCTGGGAACCTCAAGCCTGGCACCCCTGCCTGCTGATGCCTTGGTTTCTGCCTTCTGCCTGGAGGCTGTGAGCCCAGATCTTGCCAGCTTCCAGCGGGCTTTGTATCACATCACCACACTACTGAGGCCCGGGGGTCATCTCCTCCTCATCGGGGCCCTGGAGGAGTCATGGTACCTTGCTGGGGAGGCCAGGCTGTCCGTGGTGCCAGTGTCAGAGGAGGAGGTGAGGGAGGCCCTGGTCCTTAGTGGTTATGAGGTACGAGACTTTCGTACCTACGTCATGCCTGCCCACCTCCGCACGGGTGTAGATGATGTCAAGGGCATTTTCTTTGCCTGGGCTCGGAAGATGGGGGTGCAGGTGTGAGGGCCCCATACACCTGGTGTCCTGTACCTCCCAAATTCCTTATTACCTGAAATGGCACCTAATAAAGAAACAGTCCCCTGCTGGGTCAGTGCTGTTTGTGGCTCTCCAAGAAGTAGAGACTATGTAGAGGCCTCTGAGGTTTAGGAGGGGACAATCCTAGCTTGCCTTTTTTCCTTAGAAGCTTCCTTTCTGTACCACCCATTCTCCCCACCCGAGAAAGGCCAAATTCAGGAGGACACAAGCAGCACCTGTCACATACCAGGCCCTTGTATGGTTCCAGTGGCCCTGTCACTCTGCCTCAGGTGAAGTTCAGGGAGCCTGAGTAAGGAAAGCCAAAGCTGGAGAGCCAGGAGACTGGAGTGGATAGCAGGGAGGTGTTGAGATCCAGACACAAATACAGGTTAAGAAACAAGAGCTGGTGGTGCTAGCTCCCCACACCATTAAACACACACGCACACCAGCACACACACAGGTTTCAGGCTCTGCCAGGTTCCATGTCACCCTTACTCCAATGTACCCAGGTGGAGATCTGCCACTGTCCAGCAATGTCTCCTTCCCTCCAGCCCATTTTATACACAGAGAAGCAGAACCAGTGTGAACGAGGCCAGGAATTGGTTTATTAAGCACATCCATTACTGTCCCCCACCTTAAAGTTGTTCTTAGAATAAAAAAAAAAAAAAAAAAAAAGCCTAATAGGCTGCCCAAGTACTTGAGCCCTGACATAGCTACCTCCCCACAGAGAGAGGGCAGGGATAGTGGCAGGACCCAGCTGCAGACTGCCTTCCTGATGGTGCAGGATTCAGGCTGTACAGGCCCTGCTTGCCCTGGAATTATCCTGGGAGAGCATGCTCCTCTATGGAGGGCAGTGACCACTTTTAGACACAAGTTCCACATCTTCTTTCCCCTTTGCCTGATGCCCCTGAATCCAGGCTGTGACTGGGGCTACAGCAAGGAACTAGAGAGGGAGGCCCACCATGCCAAGTTTGACAGGAGGTGGGGAGGGGCACTTTCTCCCCTTCCTCTCTCTGCCCTTCAGGGGCTAGTTCTGCAGGGTGCTCTCAAGACATGCGTGGGGGGGTGATCTGGAGTGAGCACAAAGGGGCCTTGGGGACAGGCTGTGATCTGGAGTGCAAAGGGGCCTTGGGCCTCCACACTCACAGGATCTATCAGGTCATGTGCACATACTAGCAGCTGGCTGGACTTGGGGTCTTAGGTAGACTTGGAGCTCAAATGACTGCTGGTGACAACTTGGTTCCCCCATTGCACTCCAGCCTCCTGTCAGTGTAGCCCATGCATGCTCATCTCAGACACACATCTCAAAACCACTCTCAGGCACCTGTGCCCTGAACACACACCCACTCTCTACTATAAGTGAAGTTCCACGTTGCCCCGGCCCTGCCAAACCCACCCCATTGACGATCTGGCCATGCCTGCTCTTGGCTTGGACCCTATCTCTCTCTATGTGTCCGTGTGTCCATCCCCAACCAGAACAGTAGCCAGGATTCTAACCCTGAGCCCCCTGTGTCCTGGCCCTGAAGGCAATAACAGCTGGTGCAGGAGGCAGGGTGGAAACCCCTCCTTGGTACCAGCTCAGTTCCTCAGACCACGGAGAAACTTAGGCAGCTGAAGAGCAGGCCTCCAGTGCCACCTAGTGGCTCCCTGACAAAAAAGAGACCCCAATGTGCCCCAAAGGCCTGTGGGTGTGGCATTTTGGGTAAGTGGAGGTACTTGGGGTGGTACTACGGGGTGAGTGACGTGGGAAAGGGAGTGGCTGAGGAGACAGAAACTTCGCTCCCAGCTCAGCCCCAGGCACAGGAGGGCTGCCTATTCACTGTCCAGATGTGAGGAGGCCACACCCAAGACAGGGTGTACAAGTTCCAGAAGCTAAAAGGAGAAAAACAATCATCTCACAGGGGGAGAAGGGGGGAGCATCGGGAACGAGGAACATCTACACCTTTCCAGGGTCTTTAGTCCAGCTTGATCTTGGCTTCAGATTCCTTCAGTAGGTACAGGCTGTCATCTTCCAGAAATCTGTGGGTGTAGAGATGACCCCACTGAGGCAGTCACCCAGTTTTGAGAACCTCCCAGACAGTGGGGTGACCGCAGGCAAGTGGGAAGGCCAAGTGGGCACAGGGAGCCCCGGTCTGCTCTAGGAGCAGGCAAGGAAGGGTGCAGGAAGGAAATCCCGAGGCTGGGGTGATGCGAACCTGAAAAAGAGGACATGGACAGGAATGGTGCTGATATGCCAGATGGCATGGGCGTCCAGGACCCAGAAGAGGGGTGGGAAGTCGAGCAGCTCCAGCAGGGACAGGCCCTGCAGCAGCAGCACCACTATCACACACCGGCGTGTGTGAGGCAGGCGCCGGTGGTTCCGCAGGCACCAGGCCATCCACCATGCCAGGTTCACCAGGCCTGGGGGCCAGAAACACAAGAGGTTCACTCACTTGTCCTCCTTGACTCCAGCTGCCTTGTCCCATCTCCAGCCTCCCGTCTCGGCCCTTCCCTGCCCTCCAGAGTCTCCCCAGAGTCTCCCCAAGAACCCACCTCATGCCCACTCGCGGCTCTCCTCACCTATAGCCACGTTGGCCATCATGTTGTAGCCGTAGTCGAAGTGGATGAGGCTCAGGTAACAGATGTGCAGCGTCAGCAGAAACAGCAGGAGGGCTCTGAAGGCACTGGCCACTGACGGGTGCTGCAGGCCCACGGTCCTGTCCAGCCATCCAGAGCAACTCAGACAGCGACTGGCTACTCTCAGAGCCGTGGTCCTTCAACTATTCCCTTGCCCAAAGGGGTGAGGGCTTGCTGAAGCCACTCTCCTCTCCCTGTCCCACCAAACCAACTGTTTCCCAGAAACCAAGGGCTACAACTCCTGGAGACGCCAGGGTCCTCTATCCCTAGCATTCCCACCCAAGATAGTCCTGCAGAAATGTGAGCAGGCCAAGGAATAGAGCTCTGGGCAGTACCCTCTCTGCCCACAGCCCCAAGGGCTCACCTGACACAGCACAGGTAAATAGAATGCAGGATGACAGCAGAGGCGCAGAAGTAGTCCATTTTCTGAGGGTGGGGAGAGCCCAGGAGGGCCAGGTGAGGGAGCAGAGCATGGCACAGGCCGGGGCCCACAGAGGAGCCACAGGGATTGAGGCAGGGAGGAGACCGTCTGAGCTTTCAGTCTGCAGGAGCCCCATCTTCCTTCCCTCTGCCTATGGCTATTCCCCTGTGCCCACATTATAAACGTTGTAGAATGGCAGTGAGACGTCCATGGCATCAAGAAGGGCCTCACTGTGAGGGCACACCCCTGATACACTAGCTTGGGTGACCCTGGGAAAAAGACTTCATCTCTCCCAAGCTCAGTGGCCTTATAGATCAGGGCACCAATGACAAAACTCTCCTGGCAAGACCCAGGTAAAGCTCCCTGGGCTGCCAGGTTTGGGATGCCAGGAAGGGATGATGCAGGCTCTGCAAAAGGCCCGGCCTTCACTCTGTGGAGCCTGCTCTGCCCTCTCCTGGGCTCCTCAGGGACTGTCCCATGCATGGAAGGTGCTCACCTCTGTGAGGTCAGTGTCCCTGGTATGGAAGACCGTGGACCAGAACCATGCATTGAGGGACACCTGAGGAAGGAGAGGTCAGTTAGCACGTAGCTCAAGGTAGAGGAGACCTGTGGGGCTCTTTTGGGGGAGAATGTGCATCCAGTGCCCCAAGAGCCATCTGAACAAACCCCGGCCTCACTCCACCCAGCCAATCCTCACAGGAGGATTTCCCACCACTGCACACTGCCACCCAAATCCCCCAGGCCAAAAGAGCTGCAGCTTCCACAGGTTCTGGCCTGGCCAGGGAACCAGTCCTGGCAGAGTCAAGTTCCCAAATTACCCAATCTCTAAGACAACAGCCCCCAGGGCCCTGCCTCCTCCCCACACGGCCAGGTGATGACAACCCCACCCCAGCCCAAGGGAGCCTGTGACCTCAGCTTCTGGGGGCGGGAATGAGGTGGGTGGGTGGGGGGCTTGAGCTAGCTTGGGGTGTGTCGGGAGGAGCAGCAATCCAGGGAGGGAGGTGAGGCAGATCCCACTGGAACCTAGCCTCTGAGGAAGACTGGCAAACCTAGCCCAGCTTCTTCCTGGCTGGGCCAGCCTAACCCGCTGGGCCAGTGGCTGCTCTAGAGTCTTGGGAGGAGTGGGGGCAGGACTGAATGACCCAGGGGAATGCTGGGGGCCCTCTTCCTGGAACAGTACAGCCTGAAACTTGCAAATACACCATCTTGTGGGAATCAGTGTTGGCACTTTCTTCAAGACCTGTGTCCGTAGTACTGAGAAAAGGGCGGGCTACAGTGGAAACAGGAACCAGAGGCTGAGAAACCAGTGGCAGCTAGTCACAAAAGGTAGAGTAGTCCCCCGTTCTGCCATACCCGGAAGGTGGACAAGAGATGTTTGCAGAACAGGCCTTTAGGAGGTGCCCAATCAGGTACCACAACAAATGGCCAGTCAGGGGACATAGGAGCAGGTCAGGAAGCCATTGGTAGGGTCTCACAGCAGCAGGGACAGACATGGCTGAGTTCCCCCACTTGCTAGGTGCAGAGCATGACAGAGAGGGCAGGATGGAGGCAAGGCAGGGCTTGGAGCCAGGTTTATACTCTTGATGCTTGGCTCTGGCCTGGGAGCTCTCTGTCCCCACCCACTGCTGAGCCTGGCTTTCTCTGCCAGGCAGTCCCACACAAAGCCTTCTACTTACAGAGGGCTACCTGAAGAACGGCCTCTGCAGCCTTGACAAGGCCCTGAGGTGTGTCTCATGGAGGGCAGGCCACCTCTTCTGGCCCTTTCCTCAGAAGACTTGGGAGGAAGCTTTACTGTGGCTACCTGGCTGTGCCTCAGCCTGCTGTGGAACCTGAGGAGAGGTCACAGCCTGTGTCCCAAGTCAGGTTTGGCCACTCGTCCTCACTAAGCTGACTTCTTGGTGTGGCCACTCTGAATAGAGGGATCCCCTTTTCCTGCTTTCCACTAGTCGTGTGGTTTTTGAGATTGGCTTATATTGGGGTGAGTGGCCAAGCCTGGCTTGGGACACAGGCTGTGACCCCTAAATTCAGAACGGCCTCTCTCCTTGAATGGGGCAGACCTGAGTGGCCTTTATCTCCTCCCTCACAAGGCCTAAGGTGAGCTGGGTCAGTATGGGGAGAGGGGTGACCCCGGACTGGAGACAGGATCAGGCAGGCCAGGTGCAGGGACATCTTCGGGAGGACAGTGGCCCTGGGACCAGTGTGGGAGGGAGGGGGGGAAAGGCAGCAGGCACTGGCAGCCAGCCAGGCCTCCTTGTCACCCACAGCAGGAAGGGGGAGGTGACAAGAGGGCTGAGCTAAGTGGCAGTTGGAACAGTGGAAGCAGAGGGCATGCGCCCTGGGCCAGGCCTTAGCCCTGTACACAGGTGTGGGCTGCTGGTTTTTGTTTTTTTTTTTTTTTTAAATCCGTTGCCTCCAAGGGGCCAGCTACTTAAAGTCCTGTCTTAAGCCTGGACTCTGAACCCCTGGGATGTCTCTCTCTTAAGGAGTGTCCCATGAAGGGAGGAGTCTTTCCTCAGACTCAAAAGCAGTGTCTAAGAATGCAGGCCCTGGAGCCAAACCTAGGGGCTTGAAGCTCTAGCCTTAGGCAGCACTTTCTGTGTGTCCTCAGGCAAGTTATTTACCCTCTCTGTCTCAGTTCCCAGGACTACACACTTTACAGCTGCTGCTGGGCACACAGGTCTCCCAAGAGGCTTGGTTTCCTCCATCGCATCCACCAGGCTGACCCCACACTTCCTTCCATCTGACCTCCAACTCCTCTTTCCTCAAGTTCAAGGTCAGTGCTCCAGGGGCACTGGCTCCAGGGAGCAAACAGTTAACTCTGGAAAAGTTCTCTTCATGTCCCCAAGCCACTGTCCCATGACTATGGTCCCACTGTCCCGTCCTTACGGCACCAGCCGCACCAGCCGGACCTTGTAGTCAGACACAAGCAGAGGACAGATGGGCGAGGGGGTGGGGAGGGGGGGTTGGAGGGGTGGGGAGCCTGCACAACTGTTCTGCACTCCTTGTTTGCACTCAGTGTGGTGGGAGGGACCAGCAGGGTAGGTGAGAATTTTGTGTAAGCACTTGAGAATGGGGGACTCGGGGCCAGGGTCGCAGTAGTGGCAGGGATGAAGACAGGAAGGCTGGCGGGTGGAGGGAGGCAGGAGGCTGTTTCAAGTCTGCTGGCAAACACAAAAACAGACAAAAATATCAGCCATGAAACTGGTTGGATGCCAAGAGAGCCAGATCTGTCAGGAATTTGACCCCGGTGTTAAGTCCCCATGCTCGGGGCTGTCATTGACACCATCATCGTGGGGACAAGTGGTCTTTAAATAGCTTGGTGCCTCAGCAGTGGGGGAGGCAGAGTGTTAAATATGACGCCTGCTGCCATCCTGCCCCCCCCACTGTCCAGCAGGGCAAGACTACCTTGGGTTCACTCTGAGGGGAGGCGGGGGCTTTTTCCCACCACCAAACAAGGATTCCTGAGCTGGTGAGATGCTTTGGATGAAGGCCCCTGTGTCAAGCATAATGACCTGAGTTCAAATCCCAGGACCTACACAGTGAGAGTATCAATTCCCTGAGTTGTCTGACCTCTGACCTCCACATCAAGCCACAACATGTACCCAGGCACACAAGTAAATAAATAAATAAATAAATATTTTTTTAAAGTTTTTTTTTTTCTCCCCATTTCTTAACATTGTCTGATTCACTGGCTTTTGTGTGGCAGCTGGGAAGTCCCTCCTGGACTCTAGCCACCCCTCTGCTACACTGTCAGCCTCTCTCTCCTCTTCTCGTTTCCTTTATAGGGATGTTCCAATTGGTCCCTGCCATTTCATCTCACATCTACACCTGAGAATCTTTCCCTGCTAGATAAAGGTGGGGAATTGGTTTGGCCTCCCAGCTTTGGCAGAGGGCCAGGCCCCCGGCTCCATGAAGTCAAAGGGCTATAGCATACAGAACTCTGGCAGGTCCCCTGGCCCTTCCCAGTACCTCCCCGGGGTTGCACCTGAGTCTCCATAGAAAGGCAGGAGCAGCCTTCCACCGGCTCCACTGAGGGACAGGAGTATCAGAGAAAAGACAGGCACCCTTGGCCCTCCCACCCACACCCCAGCACAAATGAGGGCCACACTTGTTCCAGAAGACCCGGCCTAGGACGAAGTCCGCTGCCACACCCTCCGGGCAGAAACACAAGGCTCAATAGCAAGTATGAAATCCAAACTAGAATAAGTTTGGTGGTGTCTGCCTACCACAACAACACCCAGCCATTTAAGACAGGGAGAGGAGAACACGGAAGGCCAACCTGGGCTACACAGTGAGCCCCCAAGTCAGCAAAGCAAAAAACCATCCAACCGGAGTGGACCCTGTGTCCCTGTCCCCTGCTCCCAGGTCTTAGGTCCTGCTGAACTTTCTCTCCCACATGCATCCAATCCCGCTTTCCAAGCTGACTGGGCCTAGGCACAGGCTTTGCTCTGTAGTTCTAGGCTACACAAATGCAAAACCTGGTTCTTGCTCAGCCAGTGTTAATTCCAGAAAGCACTCAGACCCTGGAGCCCAGTGGTGCAGTGCCAGAGGCTAGCCCTGTCTTCTCTCCTTCTGACTTGTCAGCTGAGGCCAAAGCTCTGTGTGCCTGAGTCTTACTCAAAGAGTATAGGCACATGATGAGGATCCCACAAGGAAACATTGGTCAAACACTCAGGAAAAGCCTAGAGGTCTTCCTTCATAGTTCTTGCTGTTCTAGAGCTTACTATGTAGCAAAGGATAGCCTTGGCCTCATGCTGCATTCAGGTATAACTGCTGTTTTCAAGTTTTAAAAGAAACTGCTTTGTTTGGTTTTTGTTTTTTGAGATAGGGTTTTTCTGTTTGGCCCTGGCTGTCCTGGAACTTACTCTGTAGACCAGGCTGACCCCAAACTCAGAGCTGCCTGTGTCTTCCTCCTGAATGTTGGAACTAAAGGCTAGGACTAAAGGCTAACATGTTGTGCAAAAAAAAAAAAAATTAATATAGGGTCTCAAATATGCAATCTATGGTGACATCAAACTCAAAAGTTCTGCTTCAGTCTCCTAAGAACTGGAATTGCAGGCATGGTCACTCTGCCCAACTGTCCCAAACTGTTCCTCTCTCTCTCTCTCTCTCTCTCTCTCTCTCTCTCTCTCTCTCCCCTTCCATCTGTCCCCCCTCCCCCTTCCCCTCCCTTTTGCTGTTGTTCCATAGCCTTAACAGTTATTATCACCATCAAAGAGCACAGACTAGGGTCCTCCTTCCATGTCCAGCTCCCCCCACGTCAGGCCCATCCTGTGCACCTCAGCACACCTGTGCTATCAGCTACGGTCAGAGTCCTCCAGCCACTAGATCCAGGAGCCACTTCTCTCCTTGACCTGCCCTGTGGCTCTCGGCCTTTCTGGCCTACCAATACCCCTTACCCTTTGCTGGTTTCTGTCTTCTGTCTAGGAGATTCCCCTGCTCTCTTCATGTTTGCTAGACACTTCCATTCCTCATGTCTGCCTTTCCTTGTTGCCCTGCAGGGTCCAGCTCCATCACATGCCCTACAGCTCCTCCCCTCTTCTGTGTTTCTTCTAGGCTGCACGTTGACATTCAATTGTGTGACTGTGAGGACTAGAACCTGTGTGTTTTCACATGTCTGGGGGCCCCCAGCACCCAGTAAAGTGCTTGGCGTGCAGCGTGTGGCCAACGGACACAAATAGAGGCTCTCACGGCAGGAAGGAGTGAGTGGGGATCTTCCCCCCAAGGGCTGTCAGAGAAGCTCTGCCCCACAGACATAACTGTCACCCAGTGCTCTTCTGTACCCAAGTCCACGCTTCTCCAATGGTCCCAGGCCCTGCAGTCTAGTTCCTCAGGCCCGCTATGCTGGTGAGGCTGAGAACTTTGCCCTGCTCATAAGGACCCACCTGGGTTCTCCAGGGATAGACCAGCACTAGTTTAAGCTCTAATAGGACCTCTGGGCCAGAACAAAAGACACATCACTCCTCCAGGGAGGTCTTGAAGAGACCAGCAGTTCCAACATGTTTCCTACAGTCCAAAGTGCCCAATGAGTCTTTTCGTAGTTTCCTCATTTAGGATGAGAATGCGTGTCCTCCCTCCTTCCCAAGAAGACCTGCCTGGTAAGAAGGAAGGAAGGAAGGCCCAGCACCCTCCATTTCCACCTTGACTACCATATACATTAGCCCTGGGAAGGAGAGAAGCTAGTCACTAGGGATGGAAGAGCTCCTCTGTTCAGAGTGGGGTGTGTAGAGTCCTGCTAGGCTACCTACCCAAGCGAAGGCCATGCAGGTATGGTACATGGGAGAGGAGGCTGGCACAGAGGCACGGTAGCGGCAGAGCATCACCAGGCTGGCTAGGCCATTGAGGAGTGAGGCCACGGCAGAAGCTGGCTCTTGGATGAACAGGAACCGGGAGAAGGGCCACTGAAAAGGAGCAAAGGGAGGGCCCCTGAGGGGAGGCAGCGGCTAACTGGCCTGGTCAACCTTTTCTTGACAGCTGATTCAACAGGCCTCCACCTGGTTCCACAGCTCAAGACTTTGGCCGAAGCCTTATATTCCCTCAAGTCAACGAGAATCTCTCTGGAAGTCCCTGGTGGGCAGGGAAGCCTGACTCTGGGGACAGCAGACAGGCCAGGTGACACCATCCAGATCTAGGTCCCATCCCTCCTCAGCTACTCTCCATTGTCCTCTGAGTGCCTGATTGCTTCGTGCTAAACTGGGGTGAGTAATTCCTGCCAAAACAAGACAACATTGGGTCAAAGGCTAAAGGAGCAGGTCAACACAAGGGTATTTCTGATGATCTGGACTCCCATTGGAGGAGCTATGGAAAACACCTTAGTCAGGGCCAGTGGGTATCTCAGTCAGCCCTGAGAAGCTCAGCACTACTGTCAGGGAAAACAGGTCTTTTTGTTTGTGGGTTTTTTTGTTTTTGTTTGTTTGTTTTTTTTTTTTTTTTGAAAGAGGGTCTTACTTGGCTACACAGACAAGGTGGGCCTCAAATTCTAGAGATCCACCTGCCTCTGTCTCCAAAGTGCTGGTATTAAAGGTATGCACCATCACATATGGCTTGAGACACAGGCATTATTACTCCAAATTCAGAAGCAGGACATGCTGGCATCATTGGAAAAGCAAGAGACTCTGAGCACACATCTGTCTCATCCCTGCCTGTGACTCCCTACCTCAGGCTGCTGGGGCAGCATGGGCAATTGGGGGCTGAAGGCCACCACCACATACTTCTGACTTTCCAACTCACCTTGCCATGGAACTGAGGCACTCTGTGACCCTCCTGAAGGTAGAGGCCAACAGTGACCCACATGCATTCATACTTGCAGTCATCCCGACAAGTCCAGCCTGAAACACAGACAGATGTCTTAGTTAGGGAGGCATACACAGCCTGGTGGGGCCCAGGCATGAATGGAGAGAACCAGAGGAGAGCTCAAAATCTTATACATGGAGGGGGGAGAGAGAGGGAGAGGGGGGAGAGAGGGAGAGAGGGAGAGGGAGGGAGAGGGAGGGAGGAAGGGAGAGAGGGAGAAGGAAAGGGAGAGAGGGAGAGGGAGAGAGGGAGGAAGGTAGAGGGAGGGAGGGAGAAGGAGGGAGGGAGGATGGGAGAGAGGGAGAAGGAGAGGGAGGGAGAGGGAGGGAAAGAGAGGGAGAGAAGTTAGGAGGGAGGGAGGAGGAGGGAGCGAGGGAGGGAATTTTAGCAGCCAGAGCAAAGTGAATAGTTTCTTCTCCCTTTACCCAGGATGGAGCTCTTGGCATCTGACAGGCCCCTCTATGGGGACCTGGGTTTACACTTCTCCATTCTGAATCCAGGGTGGAGTCCTTGGTGTCTCCCCACCTCCTAGGAAAATAAAGCTCAGACCCTTCACCCCAAGTCCTCAGATTCCAAGTTGCCTTTATTCCCTTATTGCTACTACTCATGTTCCCTGCTCTCTGAGTAAACCAAGCTGCTATATGTACCCAAATCCACCCAGGGCCTCCAAGCTCTCTGTTCCCCCTTTCTGAAATGGAAAAGGGTAGTAATGAGGATGAGCTGTTGGTCAAACAGGTCAGAACTGGAAATTCTGCTCTACCAAGTCACAGATTGTGTGACTTTGGGCAAGGTACTTAATCTCTGAGCGTTCCCATCTGTAAAATGGATCAGGGACTCTATCCGAATGGGTTGTGGTCAAAGTCCATTGATCACCGTGATGCCTGTCAAGTGTGGGTGCTCAATATGCTGGTTCACTTCAATTCCCTCCACTTTAAATTGTCCCATGGTGATCCCTGCCTCCATCCCTTGAAGCAGACTCCATTCCTTCCTGTTCCAAATGCGTATAGTGTTTAATGTATGGATCTGTTAGGGATCAAACCATCCTGTCTTTGTGAAGGCTAATATTCACCAGCTTGGGCACTATAAAAAACGGAAGGAAGGCTCCTGGTCGGCCTCCTGTGTTATTTCAGGTCTTGTACGCCGTGTTTAACAAGTAGTGGTCTGAATAAACATAATTAAGCCTCTGGAAAGTTAGGACAGGCTGTTGAGACCCACACACACACACTAAGGAGGTTCCATACATTAACATTCCTGAGAGAACCCAAGGGTAAACTGAGGTTCCGAGACGGCAGAACAGAAGGGCACGATGGGCGGGGCTAAAAACAACGGGCGTTACTTATCCCCCGGAGGGCGGGGCTTACCAGCTAGGCTCATGTAGATTGGCTGGAGAGAGCGGAAGTGCTTCAGTGCGTCCCCCGAACAGTTCCGTTCTTCGCACCGGAGCACGCAGTCGCGGTACACCGGCTCGCGGTCGCCCTGGGAGCCCCACGCGAGCCCCACTGTCACGGTTAGCAGCAGCAGCCGCGCCATCCGCTCGGCCATCCTGTCACTCTGCCTGGCCGCCGAGGGAGGAGCGCGAAGTCCCACTTCCGTAACAACCGGAAGTACCTGTGTTCATGTTGCACTCTCCGCTGACGCCCGCCCACTTAAAATAAAAGTTCCCGGATTTTAGTGGGCGGGAATCCCTGCCTCTAACCGGGTATCTTAAGCACTGCGTTCAAGGGGTGCTGTGTATTCGGGAGCACATTAGTGAATTTTCTTCCTTCTGTCTCCACGGTCTCTGTTCCAAGAGGGCCTCTCCTGTCATCATCCCTCTCAGATTCCAGTTTCCAAATGTTCTGGGCTTTCCACTTCTATTTCTGTGCCATTACCTTGATTAAAGACACTGCCATTAAGGTAGCTGCAGAACTTATTAACATGTGTCCTTGTCTACTTTGGTCCCCTCCAGTAGGCATTAACTTTATTACTATGATAAAGACCATGACAAAAAGGAACTTGGGAAGCAAAGGGTTTACAGAACCTTATCTGTCTTACAGAACCCTATCATAGCCCATCATTGAGGAAAGCCAGGGCAGGAACCTGGAGGTAAGAACCGAAGTGGAGGTCTCGAAGGAATACTGCTTTCTGGCTTGCTTAGTGTCTTGTAGCACTTGCCCAAGGTTGGCTCTGCCCACAGTGCCATGGGCTCTCCCATATCAATTGTAATCAAGAGAGTGTCCCCCACAGGCCAATATGATGGATGATGGAGGCATTTATTTTCTCAACTGAGATTCCCTTTTCCCAGATGACCCTAACTGACAAAACAAACAAACAAAAAACCCAATCACAACTCCATTTTCTAAAATCCAAACTTGACCCGTCACTTCCTTCTTGCCTGGCTGGCCTGGCCTGCTGATCCCCGATGCACTGCCCCAGGTCCATTCCAAAGGCCCGCGTCTCCGGAGCCTCTTTCCCTTGTCTGGTTTATATCATATAATTGGTCCTTTTGCTTTTGCTTGTTTTTCTGCTATCAAGTAAAGGCCACCTGTTGTGGGTGGTTGTTAACATGGGCAGGATAATACTCAGTGGCTTGTTTTTCTTGTATGGCATGGACCTTTCCTGTCCTAGTCCCCTTTGAAGTAGAACTTGGGCTTCATGTGAGACACTTGGAAAGTCTTTTCCCTTTTTCAGGTGAATGTACAACATAAACCTGTCTGGGTGGGACAGCCAAGTGCCTGGCTTAGGGAGTGAAGGTATTTGATTCACCATCTTGGTAACCTGGGTTGGATCCTCAGAACTCACATAAAGGTGGGAATAGAGAACCAACTCCACAAATTTGTCCTCTGACACACACACACACACACACACACACACACACACACACACACACACACTGCATGAGTACTGCTCTTGAAGAGGACAGGCGCTCGGTTCCCAGCGCCCTCACATGGACATGGCATCACAGCACTTGTAACTCCAGCTCCAGGGGATCTGATGACCTTCTCTGGCCTCTGCAGGCTCTGCACTTATACGCAATACCTTGATACAGATACTTGGGAATTGGGTATATACTGTAACTCTGCCCAACCAAAGGTGCCAAAATCTTACTGTAGTTTTGAAGTCATGTAACACTGGTCCCACCCATTCTTTTCATTTATGGTCTTTCTTCCTAATATTACTTTGGTTCTGACAGGCAGACCTTTAACAATACACCTTATTTATTTATTTATTTATTTATTTATTTATTTATTTATGGTCTTTATTATTCTGAGGATGTATCTATTTCGACAATCCTCGTGTGAAGATGGGGCCTTAGGGTGAAAGAGAACGAGAAAAAGGAAAGTTCCTCCAGTTAGGCAAACTAGGTGGAGACAGGACTTCTTAAAACTTTTAGTCTCAGCCAAGCATTGGTGGCGCACACCTTTGATCCCAGCACTCGGAAGGCAGAGGCAGTCGGGTCTCTGTGAGTTCACGACCAGCCTGGTCCACAGAGCTAGTTCTAGGACAGGCCCCAAAGCAATACAGAGAAATCCTGTCTCAGAATAAATAATAAATACAAACAAGCAAACAAACCCAAAACTTTAGTCTCCATTTTTTCTTCTTCTCCTGTTCCAGGGTTGGAATCTAGAGATGCTGCTAGGTGTGGTAGCACACAGCTACAATTCCAGCACCAGGGAATGGAGGTAAGAGGGTTAGAAGTTGAAGGCCTGCCTCAATTTCATAGAGAGGCTAGCCTGGGCTAAATAAGACCTACTTTTTAAAATAATTTTTACTTAACTTTATGTGCATTGGTGTAAAGGTGTCAGATCCTCTGGAACCAGAGTTACAGTTGTGAGTGGCCATGTGGGTGCTGACAATTGAACCCCAGGTCCATCTGGAAGAGCAGCCAGTGCTCTTAATTAATGAGCCACGTCTCCAGCCCAACCTGTTTTTTAAAAATGAATACTGAACCACATTTCTTACCTCCTAGGTCCTTATTCTATACAAGATATTAAAATATGGTAAATTCCACATTAAATATAATTCATAAGTAAATATGTTTGATATAATTGAATGGCTCTTAATAATTGAAATATTACCATATTTATATACATTTAATAAAAATATTATTGTTTAGTTCATGCAGTGGCACATGCATATAATCCTAGTACTTGGGAGGTGGAGACCGGAGGATCATGGGCTACACAAGACCCTGTCTCAAAAAAAAAAAGACCGGGGGTGGGGGGGGTGGGGGTGGGAGAGAGTTCAGAAGTTACAAGCACTGGCTGCTCTTACAGAGGACTCATGGTTGATTCCCAGCACCCACATAGAAAGTTAGAAATGAAGATTTAAAAAACAAAGACAGGCCGGGTGATGGTGGCACACACCTTTAATCCCAGGCAGGCAGATCTCTGTGAGTTTGAGACCAGCCTGGTCTACAAGAGCTAGTTCCAGGACAGGCTCCAAAGCTACACAGAGAAACCCTGTGTCAAAAAATAAAAAAACAAAGAGAGAGAGAGAGAGAGAACGAGAACGAGAGCTGAATGGTCAATAGCTAAGCAGGAGAAAGGATAGGCAGGACTGGGGGGGGGGGCAGAGAGAATAAATAGGAGGAGAAATCCAGAGAAGAGAGGGAGGAGGGCGCCAGACACACAGTCAGACACACAGATAAGAACAAAAGAAAGATGTACAGAATAAAGAAAGGTTAAAAAAAAAAAAACAGAAAAAGAGAAAAGGGGTAATTTAAGAAAAGCTGGCTAGAAACAAGCCAAGCTAATGCCAGGCATTCATGAGTAAGAATAAGTCTCTGTATTAATTTGGGAGCTTGGTGGAGGGGCCCCAAAGAGGGAAAAAAACTATAACAATAAATAAATGTTGTAAAAAAATTAAAAAAACCCAAATAAAATCCATGTGCGTATTTTGGAGCTCAGTGAACATTTGTTTAGTCCCTAGCATTTTGTAGGACCCTAAACACCTATGCCTACCTGTCTGGTGGGCAAAAAACATCCCAGTGGAGACTTCTGATCTTTATCCAGCTGGAAGTCCATTGTTCATACTGAACACCTGTATAAGGCTCCGAGCAACCAGAGCAAGGCAACATGGAGTCGCTCATGCTAATGCAGCCATAATGTCAAACTGGGTGTTTAGAGAAGCAGAGAGATCCCGAAGTCAGCCAACTGCTACGAAAACAGAGGGTCCTGGTCTACTGGAGTCATTGCAGTAAAGAATTCTGTCTGCTTTGACTTTACAATAAAGAAGCAGAAGCGGGCTGGCAGTCACAGCTTAGTGTACCCAAGGCCCTGGCTTCAACCCAGGACCTGAACTAAGGGAAGTGGTATTTATGTATGTGGGTGTGTGGGTATGTTGAGCTCAGAGGACAGTGTGTGGGACTTCCCTCCTTCAACCGTGTGGGTCCCAGGGATCAAACTCAGCCGGTCAGTCTTGGTAGTAGGTCCCTTTACCCATGGAGCCGTTTCTCCCTGGGATTTTTTGTGTGGTGGCAGGATGTTGTACTCTGGGACACTTTCCCTGGTAACACTTACCTGATTTCCAGCTTACAGCCTCTTTTCATGTTGCCTTCTGTTAGCTTACCCTTCACTGGTTTTCTGTGTGAGCCACAGGCTGGAAATTCTTGGACTCAATCTTTCAGTTTGGGCTTACTGAGCCCTACTGTCTGGTAGCCATTGCACCAGCCAGTGAAGGGAGAAAGAGATGAAGCAGCTTCCCTGTGGGAGCAGAGTGAGCCGTGAGTGAAGGCAAGGAGTGCACAAAGTTAAGGAATTCCGAGGGAATCTGTAGTGTTGACATGGCACAATAATGCCTCAGCCCCAAGGAAGCTGGCAAAGCCTTTCTCTCCATGGGCTCAGAAGAATGGCCAAGCTTTTCTCCCGTGGAAATGCTAGTGTTTACTGATGATTGAGCAGTATGTGAAAAAACTAGCAACTGCAGCATCCCTCCTAGGGACGCCTGCAACCGGAGACTGCTCCCTACCAAGGCCTTCTAGTGAGACTCCTTCTCATGCCTTGGGTACAGACACAGGAGTTTCCTGTAGTTGAGTAGTTCATGCCCCACCACCAGAGCAAGCACAGCCCCACCTGATCCCAGCTTTTCTGTAATCATGTCAGTGTCTGTCCTTTATTCATCCCCTCATTACCTCAGTCAGGTTTCCAGGACCAAGACACAGCCATGTGGGACACAGTGGTTCCCAGCACTCATGCAAGGTCTTATGTTCAATCCCTAGCGCTTCCCTTTGCCTTCAAAAAGAACTGTCCTGAGTCCAGGGAGAAGGAAGACAGGCAAACTACAGTGTGAGGATGACTCAAGGCCAGCCGGCTGCACTCCTACCGCAAACGCTGGGAACACTACAGCGAGGGTGCCTTATTTATGTGCACAGTGTTGAGCAAGGCGGCTGTTTGTGATCAGAAAAGGGAGACAAGAGAAGGAATGTCAAACAGAACATCAAGGGAACCTCCAGAGGGAGGCAGAGGCAGGTGGATCTCTGTAAATTCAGACCAGCCTAGTCTACATAGCAGGTTCCAGACCAGCCAGCCACAGCCACACAGTGAGACCCTGTCTCAAAAAAGGTGAGGGTGGGGGTGGGGGAGGGAGAAAAACTGAATACCTGTCGATGGACAATGACATTTGTCAATTTTAATGAA